TTCGACGTGAAGCCTCCACCGCCTTTAAGGATCACTCTCCACCGTGATTCAATGTCGGTTCAAATAAAGAGTCAGGATGGATCGTTGCCATGGATTCATGGGCCCCAGGGTGCCGGGTGCCCCCCTATATATAAAAGGTACCCCTAGAGCGCTCTATTCAATACGCGATTAGATTGAGTAGCCGAGTAGTTTGTAAGCATGGTGCTTATATATTGTTTTGCCTGTGGATGCACCCTACATTCCTAAACGTGTGGTAGATCGTGGGAGTGATAGTCTCGTTGATCCTTTGTAATCCATCTCCTGTCTATAGGACTAGTAGGACCCGTGTCACGATGGAGGAAGTATATTTTGCTATGTTCCTCTTTAGAGATGTCCCTTATGCGTAGATGGAGGGTTAACTATAGCTGTAAAGAGTATATGTTTGTGTAAACTCTGACATGATAAGTAGAAATAACTTAGAAATCTTTCTCTCTTGATTATTATTTAGACTAGCTATATCACATTTATGAGCATCTATCTCTATCTCCGAATTGTCATTTATTTTATCATATACATATCTTTTGGTTTACCACTGTCTAGAGGAAGTGTTTAGCTAGTAATTGTATCATAAGTATGTATTGTCAATCTTTCCCTTGCCATCATTCCTCCCTATGGTAAAAATATAAATAACTATATCTGGAATACTCCCGGTGAAATGCTACAATGGTAATCTATGCGCTTGTAGAATTCTTATATTTTTAATTTGCACTCATAAAATACCAACACCTCGCTCGGTCTGACGTGATCTGGGCGCTCTCTGTCTTGCGCGCCCTAGGGTTGATCATCGAACCGCCAAGCCCAACGCCTTTTAGCCAGGGTCCGACGCCCCTGTCTCACCCTTTGCTCTATTTCTTCTCACCCTTGAGTCAAGTGCTAACACCAAAGTATATCCAACACTAGTGTATGTGTTAGCATTTTTCAAAAGCATTTTCAAAAGTCAAGTTAGCACTCACTAGGCCCTAATGCATATGCAATGAATTATTTCACCTAGTGGCACTTGATAACTGCATCAACCATGAATTCTCCCCTCTTCATAGTACGACTATCTATCCTAAACTCAATCACGCACTCTATTGAGTCTTGATTTGCAAAACAAAATGGCTCTAGAATTTATACCTTTGCCTTGACCACCATTTTGCTTTTCTCTTTCTTCTTTTCCAAGTTGGAGCACTTGATTTCCATCTTTTGGCCATCTCCATCACTTGACTGCCATCTAGCTCCATCACTTGGAGTTAGACCAACCTATCTCATAATCACACTTAGACATAGGGTTAGTCTAATAGGTTTCATCAATTAGCCAAAACCAAACTAGGGCTTTCATTGGCGAGGGGCTTCAGCACCAACTTTAGCTTCATCAGCAATGTGTTCATAGCATTTCAGCGAGAAGCTTCACTAGCAACTTTAGCTTCATCAACAATGTGTTCACCAACATCTCAGTGAGCGGCTTTGACCCCAACTTCGACATCATTGGCTACACCTTTGTCAACACTTTCGCAAGGGGCTTCACCATTAGCTTTAGCGTAATCGATGCCGCCTTCCCCACCAATTTAGAGCGCGGGATTTTCATTGGCACCTTTGACTTTGCCTTGCCATTGTCATCTTTGACTTTGCTTTGGCCATCCATGACATCTATGATTTCAACCATGTCAACGTCGTTTACTTCAAGCATGCAAAAAAATCTCACACAAACGCCAGCCAATAGGGGCGGGCGAGGAGCGTTTTGGACAAGCAATCCGTCCGAAGACAAAAGTTTTGCCTGGCGCCCGTGATAGAAAGCTTGAAGACGAGTCGTGATCATCTACAACTACCTAACCTACGCAGACTACTTCACCTACTTTGACTATGAGAAGAAGGTATCAAGGGCTCAAGGCCATGCTAAGAGCAAGCTACCAAATGCAGGGTCGTGGTGGCCCGAGAGAAGGTTGATACCAAAGACTAGCCGAATAATAGCTAATGATAAAATCATTCATAGACTGTCTCTGTGTAGACCAGAGTTGCTTGTTGGGATCAAGTTGTAATTGGGCCACACTCAATTATATTCAGCTATTGGGTCTTGTACTTTCGATCAAAACCGAATAGCTGAGGGGCTACTATTGGAGGGTGTATTATATGTTAGGGACCCCATTGTTTTTTTCAGGACCAAATTACATAGCTAGAGGCTTGTGAGATGAGGTTTAGGGCCCATTCATTGCCCCTAGAGGTTCTATTGTAAAATACAAGCCCCACTAGAGGAATAATAAAAACCTCCCCTCCCACCTTCCTTATAAAAGGGGAAGATGGGGAAGGTTGGGAGGAAGCTGGACTCCCACTCATTTGGCTCTCCTCATTCTCTGCTCTCTCCCTCTATGTTCGGGTGCTAAACCAACACTATACATGCTGTTTCATCTTCACACCCATAATAAAGCACAGGAGAATACGTAAGACGACTATAAAATCCAAATGTATCCACTTTGATAGATGATACAACGAATATATCACAAATTGCTATTACCTACAATGTATCACTTGTAAAGTAGGCAATATCTATCATACCAGTTGAGAAACTTTATAATGCATCACTCCATAGAAAAATTAAAACATCAAGTAGGATTATATGAAATGGGTGACACATAGCTAAATAAAACATGTCAAGCATTATATCACAAAAGCTTGGATCAAGCATACAAAAGGTACACTCTAGGGGAGTCCAAATGTAGGATTACATAAAAGATGTAGATGTTGTTCTTCATAATGTTGTCACCTCTCCATGCTTTAACACAAATGTTAAGCTCTTTCTCATTCTGAACGAAAACCACGCGTCTCGAAAGCTCGATACTGCCATAACCGAAAAAAGATACACTCTCACCTTCAGAATGAAGCAGGACAATCTCCTTATCATCGGCTCATTCAATAAATGGGTAGGAGAGTCCATTGCAACTACGTGTAGCAAAGGCAGAGAACTGACCCTGAAAACTATCCAGCTAGGATCCGCAAGTGACACGCACAAATATGGTTGCTTTGACAGACCCTCCAAGTGTGATGTGCACAATGCTAATCTTGCCAATGTAGTCAAAATTCCACAGGCACGAGTAGCTTTGTGTCATGGGGTATCAACGAATCAACAAGTGAGCTCAGTTGTTTATCCTTGGAGTGATTAGTTCCCTTTACTCTAAGATCGACTTTGATGATCACTGGAGTCATTGACTCTAAGAAAACAGCACGAGTAGGACCTGTATGTACCAAATACGGGTGCTCTTTGGTGAGTGTTTGGAAATTGTCCCTACCATGTTTAAAGACAAGATTGCGGTAGACCAAAAACATGAAGTGGAAACCACAATCTTGTTGCCTCACTAAAAACACATGTAGAGTCGATGTGGGACAGACACCTTATCTGGAGGGTTGGATGTGAAGTGCATGGAAGGGATCCTCGTGGTGTCCTTGAAACCACTGTAGACGGGAGCATACGTACTCCCAATTGCTTCAGAAGTGACTAGCCAGGTAAGCATTGTAGTCCAACAGAGGTTCTCCAAATGGCTGCTTGATCCGATTTAGAATTCCCATCTCCCACTCTATCCATAGATTCCTCCACTTCCTCTACTTATGCTTCTGAGATGGTCTGAGGGTCCTCAAGATTGGCCTTCCATTCAGCCCATGCATCATCATCGTCCTTCATACCAAAAATGTCTTAAATCTCATCTCCAAACATGGATTGGAGAATAACAAGACCCTCACTCGCAAGCGCCTCTTTACCCACTTCTTTGCCTTCTTTGCCTAGATCTAGGCCCACTTCCACCTTGCTCCCGGTCTTCTGCTTAGCTTTACCATCTTTCTTGTTTTGCCCCTCCTCAAGCACCCTCTTCCGATTCTCTTGACGCGAAGGGTCATGCCTACTACTACCACTCGCCCCTTCCCTACCCTTTTGTGACCACCCTTCCTACTCACTGCCTCCATCTTGCACGGGAAAGGGTGCAATGGTGACACTCAGGCCTCAAGGAGTCAACACAAAACCTCGCACGGGAAAGGGAGTGGCAGTGGCGGTGGTGAAGCTCAGTGTATACGAAACCTAGAACTAGTGTTTTTTCTGTGTGGCCTGGTGTCTGATTTTGCCTCTTGTGTCTTTCCTCTTTGTGTCATTGGGTGGTCGGTAAATATATGGGCCACAACCCACCATGTAGGTGCCTCCGATTCACACTCGATTTGAATCCCAGCAAGACGGGATTCCCCAGGCCCGAACCGGAGGACGGGAAGAAAATTAGATGGACCCTGGGTCCAAACTCCCTTCCCTGTGCACATGCATTCGATGGCTGCCGCGTGGCGCAAAAAGAGATCACGCGGTTGCTGGGAGGGGTGCGCCTCCACCACAGCCTGCTGGGCTCCCTTCGGTACGCACGGCTCGCACGCAGCTCGGCCCCAGCGCAAGGGCGTCTCTCGGCCATCAGCCAAATTCCGCAGAATTCCAGCAAACAAACGCAATGAACTCAGACTGGAATACGTATCTTCCATCATATACAGATGTCAGATGGAAACCTTCCGGTGTTGGAAGCTAATGTTGAAAACGGTGCTTCGTTTGAGAAGAGCAGCGCTTCACTAGGCGTGTTCATCCCCTTGGGGTCGCCTTCACACCGAGAGCGTCTAACTAGTACTTGTTTCGATATGTGGCGTTACAAACTTCTCTTCGCTAGAGGCTACTGAAACACGGAACATGGCATCGGTGCACCGGATAGTCTTAGTACTTGTAAAAATAAAGGAAATGCTATTTCATCAAGTGCCAGTTGAAATCGTTGGTAAAATCAATATCAAATATCCAAAAAAAAAAAACACAATCATCATAACTTAAACCTTTCCGCCTGCCCTAGCACCAGGCTAAAAACACAATCAGACGCGACGCTTTACTGGCATTTCCACGAGCACCTGGCGAACGTCCCTTCTTCCCACAGACGAAGCTCGATTCGCCAGTTACCCAACAGCGAAATCCCGCCTCGCTACTTTCCTCCCTCTTCCGTGCCCTCCTCGTCGCCGTCGCCGTTGCCGGAGCCGGACAAGGAGCCCAAGTCTAGCATGAACCCCTCAACCTCGCTGCCCTCCGAGTCGTCGTCGCCCTCCGCGCCCTCGCCGCCGACCGGCTCCGTGATCTCCCCGGCGGCCTCGCGCGCGTCCGGGTCCTCCGCCTCGCCGTCGGAGCTGGAGTACCCGTCAGGCCTCGCGATCGGGATGCGCCGCGCCATGCGCCTGTAGCTGTAGCCCCGCGCGCCACACAGCAGGCCCGGGAGCGGCGGCGCCGACACCACGGCGCGTGGGGGTTGGAGTTGGGCCTGCGGACGGTAGTGGCGCCCGAGATGCGCGGGCGGAAGCGTCACCGGCCTACGGGTGAGATGACGGAACCACGCCGCCTCGTGGTCGTTGAGCGTAGCCGTAGTGGCGGCGCGCCGGAGCATGTCTCGCGGCGGCTGTGACGAGAAGCTTGGACGGGTGGGTGTGGGGTGGGATCACAGGCGGGGTGGGATGGGATGGGATGGGACCCGGTGGTTTGTAATACGTGCTAAAAGAGAGATCTCTCGTAGCTACGTCCTGTAAATTTACTCTTCTTAATTAAAAACGGGTCATATTTCAACGTGCGAGGAAACAGACGTTGGCCCACAAGTCTAGAATTACGTAGGACCGTAGGTATAAAAAACGCTGCATGTTTTTACCCCAAAAATCACAGCATCAAGCAACTTTGGTTAAAGAATATTCAACCGTTTTATTTGGCGTGAAAAATCTCAACCAGCTTAATTTATATTCATTTTCACTCATTTTTTATTTTTATTAGGGACACATGAAAGAGAGGACTAAACATTGCTTCTCAGTGCTTTGTGGCATGGTTGTGCGGCTCCCTCCCAAAAATAATGTGCCGAATTACTGGCGTCCGAACGTCCGATGGGTTCCATCGGACGGTACCAAAAAAATACCCAGTAGAAACGCGCTACACTCCCACCATATCGCTGCAATCATTCCCCATCTGTCTCGTCCCGCTACGCACACTTACCCCGCTCGTATCCGTCTCGCCCCGCCCCGCGCCCACCGCTCCTTCCCCCTGATCCCTCCTCTCTCTCCATGCGGGCGAGATCCGGGAGCCAGGATGAGGACAAGCATGCCCCGTCCGCAGGACGTCAGGCGTGTCGCGTGCCCCATCCGCCAGCCCTGGCTCACTGCGCCCCTTCCCCCAGCGCCCGGTCGTGCCCCCAAGACTCTTTGAACATACCTCTGAAACACGAAATACTAGCAACATGAAACACTTGAATGCAACACCAGTCTGAAGCATATGAAACGTTTGGAATATACACTTGCAATATTTGTGTGAAACATATGCAACATCCATATAAAACACTTGCAACTTGCAACATAAAAACACTTATTGCAACATAAAACCAAAACATTGAAACATTTCGAACATACTCTTACAACATATGTGTGAAACATATGCAACATCCAAATAAGCACATTTGCAACATACGTCTGAAAAAGCAGATGAAACATTTGGAACAGACGCTTGCAACATACGTGTACAACCATTGCAACATCATGATCTATTTTTGCAACATCCATATGAAACACTTGCAACATACATCTGAATCATCTGAAACAATTGAAACATACTCTTGCAACATGCGCTTTCAACGCAACATCTCCTTGCTGCTCGGCAGAATGGAGGCTTGTCGGTGTGTGGTGTTCACCGGAGGTAGCGTTCTAGTGGCGCTTGTAGGCGGCGGGCCGGCAGTAGTGGCTGCATGTCGTGGAAGGGAGGCATCGGCTGCATGAGCGGCGGGAAGGCCACGACCGCGCGACTTGGAGAGGGCAACATCACACCGCGCCTGGCAGGGTTGGCAGCCGAGTGTCGTGACTCGGAGGTGGCTGCACGTCGTGCCTAGCATGGCCAGGGCTGCGCGCTGCGCCACGGAGGGCCAGTGGCCGTGCGCTCGGAGACGGCAGGCTAGTGGATAAAAGCGATAGGAAGAGGAACTGAATAGAAAAAAGTGGATGGGCAGTTTTTTTTAGAAATGAGAAGCATGGGTTGCTGGGCTAGCATCGTGGCCTAACAACAGAGCGTCCGGCCGGCCGGATGCCCGACTCATAGTATTACCGAATAATGTGAAGAAGCACGTTGGACAAAAGTGTGAACGCAGCGTATGTTTGTGCACTAGTGAAGTTCGTGCACGCCGGTAAGTGTATATGCTGAGGTTTGTCAAGGTAGATAGGATGGATATATTACATTAGTGGAAAGGGCGCCGCGCCCTTGCGCGCCGTAGTCTTCAATTGAACCTGTTGGGTTTGCGCTGTGGCGATGCTGCAGGTGGACTGTCTTTGCCATCCTGTGTAGCTGTGGTAGTTTCTAAATTCTCATCTAGCGCCGTTTCCTGGAAAAGAGATGCGAAGTGATTTAGCAGATTTGATGATGCAAAAAGGCACCAGAATATTAGTACAGTTATTTTGGTGGGTATAATTTTAGGAGTTGTAATTGAAAAAATGTGCATGAGCACACATTGGCAGCATCGTCGCTGTCACTGAACAACTGCCTATGAGCGTGGGTCGTTGCTGCTGGTAATGTGGTTCAGACTGAACAAATATGAAATTCGTAGGTAAACAATTTTAAAATACAAATTTTGTCATGCTTGGTTGACTAATTATGACACAGTTGTGTCACTTAACCAGTGGCAAGATCTTTTTAGGGGTGTTTCATGAGGATTAATTGATGATGCAGGTGTCTATGAATTCAATAACAAGATGAGCCTACTGAAAGCCCTAGTTTGATTTTAGATAATTGATGAAACATATGCACTAATCTTTGTCATGAGTTATGATATGAACTAGGTTGGTGCAATCCAAGTGTGGAGCATTGTGGCACTCAAATGGTGATGTTGATCACATAAAATAATGAGTATGGCCACATGTGATGATGATCAAGTGTTCAACTTGGAAAAGAAGAAAGAGAAAAACAAAACCCTATGGAGATCAAGGTGTCGGTATAGAAAGTGACTAACTAGTGAATATTTATAGTTTTGCTGTACGTTGTGATCGGAGGTGGCCTATAACTCAATGACACAGGATTTATACTAGTTCAGGCAACATGCCCTACGTCCAGTGTGGGTCGGTCGGTGACTTTATTCCTGAGCCCAGGTGCTCGAAGTCTATAGTGGGGTTACAAACGAGAAGGAGAAAAAGGGGGTGTACGAGTGATGGCCAAGATGGGTCGAGGTCCGATTGGAAGGGCCGAGGGGGCGATTGACGGGAACTCCGCTATGAGCTAGGTGTTCAAGCGTGTGCTTGAGGGATTGTGAGTTATCGATCTAGTGAATCTAAGCTTGAAGAAGAAGCATCCTACCCGTTGGAGGGGCGCATCCCTTTTATAGAAGAAGGGATTAAGCCCAAGTTTCGGTGAGAGGAGAGAGCCGCTACACAACGGATATTATGAAGTCTTGGTGATCTCCTCCATTGTGCCGATGAGGAGTCGATAATGGTAGGCGCCCACAACCTTCTTGTTGATGTTCTGTGCGAGAATGTTAGGTGGTGGGAGGTGAAGGGAGGTCGGGAAGGGTGGCTTCTCATCAATATGAAAAAAATATTGTTGGTGTGTGGGGAGCCTCACCACGATTGAACTACTACCACGAACACAAAGCAAAAAGACTCGACCACGGACACAAACTGGTGCAAAGGCACAAAGGGAGCTCTAGGTAATGAACAAATATGAATCTAAGGCAAGCGAGATTATACCTCGCAGAAAACTGAAAATATCGATACCAATTGATGAGTACAGGCCCGATCTTCCGAGAGGTAGCGGTAGTTCGATTTATGGGATCTTGGCGCCCCCTATCGATGCCCGATTGAGGCATGGGGACCTTTTTTGCCATATGGGAGCCCAATGATTGCCTCGCAAGAATCACTGCGTTTAATCAAGAGCACAAGACACAAAAATCGGTGCCTATAATAGAACTCGGTTGCTTGTGTCAAGAAGCGGGGCGATCATCGAAAAGGATTTGTCACCAGTGATTACAAACCGATTGTTTTCGATGGAAAACTAAACTCTCAAAACCGAGGTATAAGTGACCGATATCATGGTTTGACTTAGCTTAGGCCGCTGCCTTCCAGCACCTTCACCTGGTCCCTTCCAAAGCGCCCCCCAACGTCCGGATGGCTCGATCGGCCTGGCCGTGGCGGCCAAATCGGAGAAAAGTGCTTGTGGCGCATGCTTCCTCATACGGGTCCCCCCGGTCGAGTCACAAGGGTCGGAGTGAGGGGTTGGAAGCTAGTGAATTGGGAAGAAGAAGCCTTCCTATCGGAGAGACAACCTAGAGGTGGCTAGTGCTCGAGGGAGCGCGGATGCTCGAAGTCGTCCGAGGTGGTGGGCGAAGATGTTGATGAGCGGGTGTTCGTTCTTTTAGGAAGACCTCCGGTCGACGATGTTGGTGTGTGGGACTGTCCTTACGTGTATGGTGGCCCGTCGTATTCTTAGACCTGGGGACCGGCCCATGAACAACATGCCGCGTTTAGAGACACAAATGGGCCGAATACTACTTGTGTCGTCGGCTGGCGTGAAGCCGGTCCCCGAGGGACCACGGGTTGGTGAACCCGATAGGAGCCCCCCTGGAATTGAGGCCATGAACAAGGAATCTTAGTTTTGGGAAGCCCTCGGGCGATTCGAGCAGGAGTCGTCAGGGGATTTTTGTCTGCCGGGCGGAGTGTGCGTGGAGCGCACGAGAGACCGCCCCTAGAGGTGGTGTAGCGAGCCTCCGAGCCCTGGGCGTTCGGGAGAACCGGGTGGGGGTTTTCTGTGTTGTCAGCGGGGGAGGTTTTTTGCGTTGTGTCGGCGGGTGCACGCGAGCGCACCCACGGGTGTAGCCCCCGAGCCCCCGGGCGGTTCGGGGCGAGAACCGTCTGGGGTGTTGTTCAATGCGGGGGCGTGCGTGTTTGTTTTAGTTTGAGGCGAGTTAGGGGTGTTGTTTAACCACGACGTCATTTGTGCGATGTATTTGTGTAAGGGGAGTTTTAGGCGTGGGGATGAGACAACTTACTAATCTTTGGCGTCGGTGCGCGCCACGGATGGAGATAGCTTGGTTCGGACGTGTTAGAGCTCACTAATCTTTGGCGTCGATGCGCACCGTGGGTTCGAGCGAGGCGGGGTCATGGATGGACCCATGCATCGGTGCGCGCCGTAGATCGAGAGAGTTAGTTTAGTTAGTTTAGGAATCGGACGAGCCAGAGCTCGTGGACCCCAAGTGAAGCCGTTACGCGAGTTTAGGAGTTGTGGTCCTAAGAGCCATAGCCGGATGTCATAGATCTTGTCGACGCGAGTTCAGAGTCGCGGTCCCAAGAGCCGTAGACGGATGTCATAGATCCTGTCGATTCTAGTTCGGAGTCGTGGTCCCATTGGAGCGCAGTCGAAAGTGAAGCCATTTTGAAG